GGCATGTCAAGGCCTGCCGGGCTCTTGAACTACTTCCAAGTCGCCGATTCCTGTAGCGATGCCGACAAAATAGGCCAATGTATAGACGCTGGGGAGCGATGGAGGCTTTTCGGTGAGAGATTTGGCGAAACCTCGCAACCTGGCTGTGACTGCATCTCTTGGACTCGTCAAGGAGTCCCCAAGTCAGGCATCCATGATTGTATTGACGGGATTGGAATACGCGTAGTGTTATATCATGCTTTCAGACTGGATGTGATTCGTAAAGTCCTTGTTGAACTTGTCGGCCTGGGCTAAAACGCCGAGTGGTACGGTGACCCCGGAAAGCAACAATGCATCTCCAATCAAACACAAAGCCGTGTCGACGCCGTCGACATGGTCGTCATTTTTCCACGCGGCTGCGGCCGCGACGCCACAGCCGACAAAGGGTACAAGGGATGTCATCGCCACCGCCCGATCCGGCGGTAAAGCCAGAGGTAACCGCTGTCTTGCTTTACTCGGGTTAGATTTCCATCATGGCCATCAGCATAAAAGGCTGTCGTAGTGCCACGTCGCGCAAGTGATGGGTATTTTGCCTCGCCTGGGTCAAGAAGGATGTGAGGACGGTGAGGTTCTTAACCCTCTCCAAATATGATATCAGGAGACGGCGAATCGCCACGAATGAGGAAGCCTTGCGCACTCCCATCCGGCATGGGGAGCTGGGCAACGTCCTGAGGACGGCTTGTCGGGTATCGAGGTTGGCAATAAGCCGCGGCAAAGACGGCCGTCAAGACTGTTCAAAGTATTGAACAGAATCTTTGATGAGACGTCAGTATTTCCTAGGTTTGAGTCACTAGATGACGGATGACAAGCTCACCTTGGAATGATTTCTCTTGTCTCCTGTCACACGGATTAGGTCAAGCAAGGATCAGAAGCCCTTTATTACACAATAGGATCACGAGAACTATGGGGCGCACTAGGCACGGGCCGTTTCTTTCATGTGTATGAGATGGTCTCCCCTTGCCTCGAGGCTTGAGGAAACCAAGGACCTTTGACATCCTACGAGATTATCACTGAATTGAGCTCTTTTGCTTCAAGCTCTCTAACGAGCCCTTGTCACAGACATAATGATTTTGCTAACATGACAGACACCGTGGCATCTGTAACCAGTCATCCATCAGTGAGTTACATTTCCCCCTTCTCAATTTTTTACAGCAGTTTTGATGAGTACGTGGACACCACCAGTTCCTACTTCTGCGCATACAAGTCTGGGCGCAAGAAACCAAGCGAGCGCGTTAGCTGTAGCGGTAACTTGTTTAATAAGTCTAGTGATGGGATAGATCAGTAAGATTTTGGCACTGCTTCAGTAAATCCACCGCCATCTTGTGTCCTCAGTCTTTGCGAATGTCTCTGCATGTCGAAAGATCTGATCTGGCTCACAGAGAATGACGACATGACCAAATCTGTTTTGACGACACTCTTGCTGCGGCTTGTGATGCGGCTTCGCCTTTTCTTTTTCGAGCCCACAAGATGAGCGATGCCAAAATACACATCACCGCACCAATGACGTCAAGCACGTCTTAGGATAGTTCCTTGGATAATCTCACAGAGTTTACTCATACAAGCGTTCGGTCGCCAACCCGTAATGATTTGTAGTTTGTCATAACTAGAGGGCTTATAAATGTGACCATATAGGAACAGTGCAATTTTCGACTATTCCCTCCCAAGTGATTTGGCTGAGAGTGTTCAGGGTGAACCTAGAGTATCTTTGAAGCATCGCGTCGATGCGACTATTTTAAGTCAAGGGCTGCCAATCCTTTACGCTCGCAAGACCCTTTGCATCGTTAGCACCCCTGCATTAAATGCTCTCAAACCACTGCAAGTTGTAGGAGGAGAAAGTATCTATCAAAGGAGTCGGACGAGAGATGAAAGTACATCCAATTCATGACAAGTAATTGGATGCGCCTACATGTTCAAACAATTTTCAAACTTGCCTGTTTCGGGCCGTCCTTGCTCTCGTTCTACAACCGACTACTGTCGCGCAAAGATTACATACTGGTGAGATGAAAGCTTCATCAGTCTTTAATGAAAACCAATATTTGTTACGTATTTTCAAAACGGGTTATTCACCGTAACTGGGATCTGCCATGTTGTCACGCGAGGTAGGAGGCGATCCAAGAACAGGGCCGAGGAGAAAAGAAAGGAGATGCCAGAATTAGGTATCAATGCCATCGTCAGAGAAACAGGGAATGCACTCTCACTATAGGGTATATTAGGAACGGACGCAACACCGGTTGGCTCCGAGGTTGCACTTGCGACTAGATTAGAAGATGCGTAGTGTGCTGTTAATAGGATATATGTCAGACAATTGAGGGTCACAAAAGATGGAGTATAATGGCGCCGAAGGCACCAATTGTATTGAACGAGGTTATTTAAGGAGCATCATACCTGTATAAAAGAGATTGCAGTGGTTGCCTTGTATAGATGATAATCTGATTGTACTCGGAGAGAAGTCCGCTACCGGGTGCTTGATATATGGTAATATGCCCATATTAAATATACATTATAATTTGAACACTTGTATCTAGTACTTCTGTAAGATGTGTCTTCTCTGCTGCACAACACAAGTTTCCACTGTTCCTCGTACTGTCTGTCGAGCGTGAGAGTCGATTGCTTCGGTGGCACGGCATTGCAGCCGAGAAGTGGGGGAGACGAGTATGTACGATTGGCTAGCACGTCATGGACTACCTGGGCAGGTAGCCGGCATGATTCTGCCGACGCACATGGCTCCTTCTTCCTATGCCAATGCAGGTTCTTCTCTGTGTGCGCAAGTTGCGATTCAAAGGCTACCCTGAACCCATCGAAATGGGACAAGAGGAATCCATGCGACTATGCAATTTCAGCCCTTGAATCTTTCTCGTATCATGCATCCGGGGAATCTACCAGGTCGGTGGAGAGACTCGTCGCCTTGATCCAGTTCTGCACGAACCATGGGCAATATGCTGGTATCGTCGAATGTCCAATGGAGTGATGGCTCTTCAGATAGTGCGGGGCGAGCGTAGAGAAAGACGGATTCATCACGTCAATCCAGCAAGTCATATGGCAAGCAAACATGTCAGTTGTCAATCAATCGCATCCAATATCCAATCCGGCGTGAGATGGCTCGGGCTACCCAGCAGGCTTGCAGTTGGATCCATTCGACGCGTCACTCTAGACCTCATGCGGAGCCCAGACAAAACGTCAATACGTTCGAATTACGGAGTACAGTGCAGTACAAAACTCGTGTACGCATCCAGCCCGGCGAAAAGTTGGTGAGATCAACATGGGGCAAAGATATAGTTGACCCAGCGTGTGATTTAGGGTGCCTTGGCGATTGAAGTACTCTAGCATGCCAAGGTGGCGCACGCAAACTTCCCAAATTGAATGGTGCGACGCTTGGGTCACAGAGTGTTCCAGCACGAACCGCCCATGCAACAGATTCACACATGGTACCATGACATGGCCGCAATAGCTGGGTCCCAGCACGTGAAGAGGACGGCAGCTGTTGAGCACGGCTTCTCTCTTGATCCTGTTCTGGAATCCAACCACACAAAGTTGAGCCCGTCCAATCAGTCATCATTTTCATCAGGCCAGGAACGGCAAGAAACCTAGAGCCCTTTGCGGCTTCTTTAGATGAGCACGTGCTCGCTGAACAGGACCTCACACGACATGCCCAAAGCCAACGCCACTCAGAGACCCCGGAGCTCCGTTTTGAGATGGTGGATTTGAGCTGGGTCCGTGGGCCAATGGACGTTTGCCGACATTGTGGAGTCTACGACAATGCCGGCCCAGCTTGGAAAGAATTTGGCGGTAGTCCCTACGCCGCTTGTGCGACAATCTGCACCGGTGCCAGGACCCTGCTCCAAGCCTTTGGAGGCTCGCCCATCCCGGATGCATGTGGAAGACACATGGGCCTAGGCGCCGCTCTGATTCGTCAGCCCTGACATACAAGCTCAAAGGGCACGCGACCAATTTCTCCATGATGCTTGGTCAATGGCCGTCTTGGATGGTCCCCCGTGGCCGGCCGTTTCCTGGCCCCGTGGGAGAGGAACGAACGGGTTGAGGGGTTCTCACCAGGTCCTGCCCACGGGGTGGGCGGATATGATCCATCCCGGGTGTTCAGGGAAAATGGGGGAACGAACATATGGGCCATAATAATAAGCCTCGCGCCTAGTCGCTAGACCCAAGTGTTTTTCCTGGAGGAGCCGAAGAGGTGTACATTCGATGAGTACATGCGTGCATGAGTGCATGCGTCTTGGTTTTAGTATATTCAAGTGTCCTTCCTCCATTCTAGTTTCCTCGTCGTGCTTGGAAAATCACCCTCTCATTCTCAAAGCATCCATCTTCCTTCTCCCCCCCTCAAATCCCCCTCAAATTCCATTCTCGAGATTACTTGTCAGGAATCTTGGGGTCCCGGGCAGTGGCACTTTTCTGTGTGTCTTATTCAACTGTCCAGTTGCCTCCGTCCTTGGTCGGCTTCGAACACTCAATTCCCACCACTTACACGACCGTGACCGTGTAGCACCTTTGCTACCTGACACTCAACTCCCGGCCACTGCGTTCTCTCGTCGCCGAGGAAGCAAATAGACACGAGAACGAATAATAAATACCTTTGGCGACATACGTTATAGAGGCAAAAAAAAGAAGGCTCGAGTCTATATATTGGTAATACAGAAACACAGTCCAAGGCACCACGTCCAAACAGACAATCACCCACTTTACTCGGTCACGACAGTCTCCCAAGGTTTCCACACAACGATTGACAGACTGAGCGTCCCGGATACCCCATAGACGGAGGGACAGATACCCGGGTGGCTTGACCTGGCCTGTACACTCACTTGTTGTTGCTCGGTACTTGTCCGACCTGGGTCCGTGATCTAGCTTAGCAGTCCCAGAAGAGTGGAAGGTTGGCCTGGCCGCATCAACGACAGTCAATTGCTACTTACTGCTCGTGCAAAAGCACGAGACCTCACGCGACTGCGCCAATGCCTCGACCGGCCCTTCCGCCAACCCCTGGCTCTTCCACAGACATCAAGGGACAGGACGGCGCCCAGCAGCTCTCATCGATTCATGTTTCTTTCGAACTACCTCCCCCTGCAATTCATGATGCTTCACGCATTTCACCTACCAAATCCAAGCACACCTCGCCCGCTCCGACAGCGCCTTATCCAGCCACGCTAACCTCATCTTCCCCGCGGACCATATATCCTCTACAGGCTGCCGAGGCAGTCAAATCACGCCGTCGATCGTCTGCCGCCAAGGACGCCAAGGACGAGTCCTCCTTTACTCTCCCGCCTCCACCCACTCGATCGCGAAAGATTATCCAAATGAAGCCCCGAGCACAGGAGGAGGCAGCGACCGAGGTCTCGACCAAAGACTCTGGCAAGGCCGGGGGCAAGGGAGCCACCGGAGCGGCAAGGACGGCAGCCATCAAGAACAATGCGACCGCCGATGCCGGTGGGGCTCAGGGAAAGAAGAGGCAACCCAGCGCCACGAGTGCGGCTGGACGCAAGATTGCCAGGAAGACTGCCCACAGTCTGATTGAAAGACGACGTCGCAGCAAGATGAATGAAGAGTTTGCCGTCCTCAAGAGCATGATTCCTGCTTGTACGGGCGAAATGCACAAGCTCGCCATTCTCCAGGTCAGTCTATGCCGGTGCGCCCCCCATCCGGCCAACTTGGATGCGGGCGCCGCCACGGTCGTGATTAACAAATCGTTTGCAGGCTTCGATTGACTACGTGAGATACCTTGAAGATTGCGTTGCCAAGCTCAAGGCACAACATGGAGAGAAGAGCAGGGAACAGGCCGCACGCAACCCACTGCCTTCGATCCGTGACTTTCATCCGACGTTTCACGCGGACCCCTCCGGCGATGTGGACATGTCCGACTCGGACACGGCGTCGCCTCTCTTCGCAGCCCAGCCTGACCACGCACACCCGCCAATCTCACCGGCTCTGCAACCAGACGATGTTCGGCACCGACAGCAGTCATACTCGTCCGTGTCTACTGACCAGCGACACTATAGCTTCAGCACATCAGCCGGAGGAGCTTCTCCTGCATTCGGACCCCAGCGGCACGGCGTCTACTCACAAAGCAGCGCATCTGGGTCGACGCTCACGAGCCCGGCCCTGAACCCGCAGTCCGATCTCGACCAGGAAGCCTCTGCAGCGCTGTTGATGTTGACCAACGACAGACGTGGCACCAATCCCGCCCTCAACGCTCGGGGCCTGTCGGTCCGAGACCTGCTCAGCACTTAGAGAAGAAAAATCGTTCCCAATCGTTTCATCTCTTGCCTGAGTCGGGCATGCATGGAAAAATAATGATCGAATAGACTAATGATGCTCCATCCCCTGTTATTATATTACGCGAATGAATCGAAACCAAGATTGACACCGTTGGCGTCGGCGTACATGATACCCCTTCTTCTATATTCTATGGAGTCTACGACACCGGGGAGGCGACGCGGGGTTTATATTTGACTTTGGCCGTCACTTGCTTTTGTATACGGATTGGTTTGCTCTCACCTGTTTTGTGTCAAGGTCGCGTTGAGGAGCCTTTCTTTCTTTTCTCTTGATTTCTGCACAGTTCTGTGCTGACATTAGACTGCCTGCACGGCGGAAAAACGGAAGCGGACTAAAGCAGCGTGTGCTGTTAGTATTCGTAATGAATGATACTGTTTGAGCTAGTTTAACACGATTCGACATGGCATCATTGCGAGCTTGGAATCAGCGATGTATGGGTATCCAGTTACCGATTAGAAAGGCAACTAACTGCAACTACCGCCGACCAGCTCCGTCATCTAGAGAGCGCACCCCTTTTCAGTCTTTCTCTGTATCCTGAATGACTGAGATCACATAAGGAAGCGTCTGCAATGCCCATCACCGAGCTCTCAAGCCTTGTACCGCTCCGTGCCGGCAATGTCTTTTTCGGCATCTTTCAACAAGAAACTATTTGCTGATATTAGCCTATCATTCAAGCCCCTCGGACGTCGAGACGGGCGCAGCTTACTTGTACCACAGGATCGTAGGTCCAATCGTCAGCATATGCCACAGACTATGAGCATCAATACACCCCAGCCAGGGTGGGAAGTCAAACAGCTCCATACTCATGGCAAACATGACCCACGCGACAACCACACCGGGCACAATCGACCAGAGGCTCCCGGACTTTTTGAAGCTCGTAACACTGAACCAACTCCACAGGATGTTCTGCACGATCCCAGCTGCGACATTGGCCGCCATGTTATACGTGTAGTCCCACCGCACACCTTTCAAGTACGCCACGTGGAATACATACAACATTACGCACAGCAGCGTCCATGCGCGAAGGATGGATCGCCGTCGAGGCGAGGGCCGGTCGATTCGGAAGATGCGAATGGGCGTGTAGTACAATCCGTAGAGAACGTTTGCACCTGCGGCAAAGTAGTCCAATTCTTCCGTGAGTTGAAAGTCGCGCGTGTGGAAAATGGCGCTAAAGACCCAGCTGGCGATTCCAACGTGGGCGAGCATCACGTAAAACGGACGCAGGCTGTACGTCGCTGGGATTCGAGCGCGCACTTTGGCAAGGCCATGCCAGTGCGCATAGAGGTTCCCCAGGGAGAAGAGCACGGAGAAGGGCTCCTGCATCCCGAGAAACCGGTAAAAGGGCCATTTGCCGTGGAATTGGACAATGGGCTCGCGAGCGGCGACTCGTTGGGCCGTGACAATGTGCTGGCACGTGTAGTCACATTCGGAGGCGCAGTTCCAGAGGAGGAGGCGACGGTGGGCGGCTTTCCTTGGCACGTTAGCAGGCGTACGTCTTTTTTTTTCTCTTTTTTTTTCGTGATCCGAGCCGGGGCTTCAGGACGTACGAATGGGAGTATGGTCCTTGCCGGGACCGCAGTTTTCAGCTTTGCAGACCTACCATCGGTTAGCTACGCGTCGGGGAGGACGTTGACGGGCGACATGCCTCGAGGCACTCCCTGAATGCCGGCGAACGGTCTCCAATCGAAGCGTGCGACACGCCACAAAAGACGAGCAAGAGGAGGCTCAGGGAACACAGGGATAGGGTGGTTCCCCATGGCCGCCTCCTATCGGGCGCCATTGCAAAAGCATCGATGGGAGGGGAGCAAGAAAGAAAGACAAGCAAGAAGGCAAGAAATCCGACACCCAGGGAAGACGGGGTTGGGAACCGAGAAAAAGGAATGCGCCACGGAGCGCCGGAGATGGAGGTGTGAAGTGACGCTGACCCTGGAGGGGACCCCGATGTGGCACTTGGCGGGGGCCGACGGACCAGGAGAAAGGAACGTTATCGTCACATCACTGGTTGTACGGAGTACTCGCTGCTGTAAATGACGTTGTGCGCAGATTCAGGCGATACGGGAGAAGGCTACGTTTGATGCGAAATATGTTGGACAGCTGGATGGCTCTATCTACTGGGTAGTTCATGACACGACATTGACTTGGTGTTCTGATTGCAAGTGCAAGACGGGGTACGGAGTATAGATAGATTCTCTACACGCTCTGCCGTTTGTCTTCCATCGAAGAACAAGTCGTGATGGACGCTTCGGCACTGGCTAGTACTGTACACAAGTCATTGCAACCCATCTCATCAAACTTTGCATAAACGTCATTGCAAATCTTTTCCATTGCTCACCTCTTATTGCTCACCTCTTGGCCAGACCAGACCGCCCTGGCGCCTGGGTGCCTGTGCGGACGGCCCCCCACCCAGACACCGGTTGCCCACGGCAACCCGCGGCTCTGTGATTGGCCACTTGCCATATCCTTCAAAATATCATACCCAAAGGTTCCCATCCGCCCTCCCTCTTGTCAATCCAACCGACGCGATAACATCAACTAAAACATTTTCGACATTTTCGAAATACGTGTGCGAATCAGTATCATGGGAACTCCCGACACGTAAAGAAGCCCGAATTCTCTACCATTTACCGCAATTCGACCTTCGAAATCACCAGTTGCATTGTCACAGCATACACTACCAACCCACGCGTCCTGCAATGGCGACCGCATCGCCGACACCAATGGCCGCTGCCGGTGCTGTCCGGAGAACTTCACAACGCCAGGCCTTGAGACGCCCTGCCTCGCGACAGATGGTTAGCAGAAGCGAGAGTCAAGCCGCCGCCGCTGCTACCGCTACTGCCGCCGCCGTGGCCCCGGCAAGTCAATCACCACGTCAGCAGCAATACCACGACGACAGCTCAGAGGATGAAATCCCTGTGCCTATGAAGCTCAGTGCTCTCACCAAAGCTCTACTCAACGATGACGCCCCGGAACCTGCCAATAGGGAAGCCTCACCGCCACGCACGAGACGACGAACTAGTGCGTTGAACAACAATTCGTCTTCGGCTGGTGTTGTTGGAGCCGGACCCCAGGACAGACGACATCTACGATCTGGAAGTGTGCAGCCTGCGGATGACAAGCCCGCAAAGGCCGCCGATACAAGCCAAAATCAAGAGGCTAGCCCCGTTAGGAAGAGGGTTGTACGTCTGGGCAGTAACCCGCATAGCTTGAACCAGATGGGACCGGGCAAGAGACGTTCTGCTTCCATGTCTCGCTCTACAGGACAAAAGGCTGCCGCATCATTACCTAGCCGGACAAGCAACAATCATGAAAAGCCTGCAGAGGAGGAACCAGAACCACAACCACAACCAGAGCCGCAGCCAGAGGTCAACACCCCGTCACACCCTGAACGGGTCGTGCGAATTGCTACCGGCTCATCGGCTAACAGGAGTCGGATTGGCTCCTCCGGACCTTCATCTGGACGGTCCAAATTTGACCGTTCTGTGGCCGACAGATCGCATCTGGAAGCCGAGTATGATCAGTTGGAAGCACCCGAGAGCGCGGTGCGGGATTCTGGAAGCCACGGCAGCGCGTCGCGATACCCGTCGACGCGGAGCCGCCCCGACGATATCAACCCGCAGAGCTCCATGCGAGTCAAGCGAGTTGGCAAGCTTTCGGGAAGCTTTTTGAGCGGACCAGCCAGGAGAGGCAGACGGCGTCAAAGCGACGAGGAGGGCGAAGGCCATGTAGACGGAGACCACGCCGTCCCCAGCCACGAAGCTGAGCATGGCCTCCAGCCAGCAGACGAGGCGCCCGAATCGTCCATCTACCACGAGGCGAACCGGGACTTCAACTCGGGAAGCCCTGTCAGCGGCAGTGCTGCTGCCAGAGCCAGTCATAGGAGACAGGCGCCTGGTATCGAGTTGCCCGACCTGGGTTCGTCAAGGCGCTCATCCCGCGGAGTTCACTTTGAGGCTCGACGGGATGACCATATTACGGTGCCGGAAGCGATGCTACCCAGGCGCATCGAGATTCCGTCCACAAACGACCAGGAGAATGAGTATCCCATTACCTTCAAGAGGCCGGTCAAGGTGGCCGCCGACCCGGGCGTAGAAAAGCCCATTGCCCGGCCGCTGCATGTTGACCTCGGCAGCGCCAAAGCAGCATCTCCCGAGCGGAAACCTCTGGCCTCCATTGCGAACAATACACCACACCAATCTGCTCCCCCACCGCCGCCCAAGATGTCCGTCTTGGAGGCGGCTACGTCGACGGCTGGCGCGGCCACAACCACCCAGGCCAGGCAACGTCGAAACGTGCTGCGGGTCAATGGAAAGTGCTACACCAGGCTGGAGTGCCTTGGTCGAGGCGGCAGTGCCAAGGTGTATCGGGTGACGGCCGAAAACGGCAAAATGTTTGCTCTCAAGCGAGTGTCCTTGGAGAATGCCGACGACAACATCATCAAGGGATACAGAGGCGAGATTGATCTTTTGGGCAAGCTCAAGGGTGTTGACCGCGTCATCGACTTGTATGATCACGAATTGAACTCGGAGAAACAAGTACTTACTTTGGTACGTGTCCCAGACTGGAAAGCCCGCCCCTTGACGTTCGACTCTCGCTAACAACTTGATAGCTTATGGAGATGGGTGAGCTGGACTTGAACAAACTCCTCACGTCTCGACAGAATTCTGAGACGGCCAAATTCGATCCTGTCTTTGTGCGGTTCTACTGGAAAGAGATGCTCGAGTGTCTGCAATCAGTGCACCAGTACGAAATTGTCCACTCCGACCTGAAACCGGCCAACTTTGTCCTTGTCCAGGGCCGCTTAAAACTCATTGACTTTGGCATTGCCAACGCCATCCAGACCGAGGAGACGGTCAACGTCCATCGCGAGACCCAAGTCGGAACACCCAGCTACATGTCCCCCGAGTCACTGATGGACGCCAATAACCCGCGCGGAGGCCGCCTCCCGGGCCGTCCCA